TTGCCAATTTCTGTAGTCAGGTTCAGTCCAGGATCTTTTGCCATGTTCTCTCGCTAGGTTCTGTCTCTAGGTTCTGAGGCCAGTTTCTGTCCAGGATCTTTTGCCATGTTCTCTCCAGCGAAGTTCTTCTGTCTCTAGAGAATGTTCTGTGTAGGTTCTGTGCCTCCTGGTTCTGTCTTCTTAGTTCTGTGACTTGCTGTCTTATTACATCTGTATTTATACCAGTTGATTCAATCCTATCAATCTCTATTACAAAGGTTAAGGCGTTTCTTATCTCCATTACAGGGAGTAAAGATTATGTAGCTTAAGCATGATTGTTCATAGTTAAAGTGATTAATTACCCGCCTGGCACTTAGTTAAGAGGTTTTATTCCCTCCCTAACTTCAGGGGAAAATCCCTACCTGGGGAAACAACCTTTCTCAGAGACCTTGGTTAAAACACATAATGCCAAGAAGGTGAGCAAACATATTAAGAACAGTATGCCATATATGCCAGGTCCCTTGAAACAGCAAGCATGGACCGGCTCCCGGCATTGCTTATTAAATTTGAACCACCTGACATAAAATCTGAGAGCCATCCTATATAATAAAAGGCTAATATGCAAATCGACCAAACAGTGGAATGACTCAATGCAGAAACTGCCCCCTGATGGTGAATGAATTCCCACAGGGGGAGTGCTGCTCAGCCAGAAGCCGGGCTCATGGCTGGCGAGTGCAGAGGCAGTGTCAGGAGCCTCTCTTGCCTCCACAGCAGTGCTAAGGACCCCTTGGGGGATGTCCGCCTGCCAAGGACATCCTGCTGGGGAGCAGGCCTAAGCTGGCAGGCAGACATCACCCAAGGGGTCCCAGACTGCAAGAGGGCACAGGCCAGGCTGAGGGACTCCCTCAGTGCACGAATGTTGTGCACTGGGCCTCTAATATATATCAGTCAGCTAAGTGTCTGACCAATTAGTCTATCTCTCAACCAGTCAGATACTCCAACTGGTAGGTTAGCTTGCTGCTGGAGTCTGGCTGATTGGGATTGGGTGAGACTGGCTGGACATGCCCTGGAGCCCTCCCACAGTCCCTCCCTGGCCAGCCAACCTCCTACGGTCCCTCCCCAGCCAGCCGGCCCCAATCGCTGACCAGGCTGAGGGACCCCATCCATGCATGAATTCGTGCACCAGGCCTCTAGTTGTTTAATAAGATTTATTTAAGACAATTCAAATTCCTAATCAGAAAAGCAGAGATTATGGCTGCTTCTCAATATCTATAAAATTAACCTCAATAAATTTCAAAGATTCAAAACAGTAGACATATTCTAAGACTACAGCATAATAAAAGCAGAAATTTAATTTAAAAAATAAGGATAAAGGGCATCTATGAAAATCCTACAATTAACATCGCACTCTATGATGAAAGACTGCATGCCTGTCCCTAAGGTCAGGAACAAAGCAAGGAGATCTGTTCTCAACACTCCCATTCAGCATAGTACTCAAGGAGTGAGCAAGTGCAATAAGACAAGAAAAAGAATTTACTTTTAAAGAGGGAGAAAGGACATTTAAATACCCAGATATTTAAAAAATATATCCTTTCGCAAAATACTTTGTAGTCAGAGAAATCAAAACTGCAAATATATATTTTTTTAATGATCATAAAACCACATATGAAAACAGCTAAACTTAAGCTCTCCTCTGGTTAAATTCCTCATCTTGATTGATCCAATGATTCACATCTCAACTTAGATTCAGACTCTCAGGAAGGCCCTATTTGAGGTTGGTTGCTCTCTTATTATCTACTAGTGTCCTGGTGCACAGGTTTGTGCACATTGAAAGGAAATTAATTAGAAAAAATATTTTAATATTGCTATTTGCATCTTGCTAATAAAAAGAAAATAGGATTCTACTGAGTGTCATATCTACCTACTCCCGGACTTCTGTGAGGACCAAATCAGATGAGGCATGGGAAAACGCTTCACAAACATTTGGTTAAACTGTAAAATGTTTGCACCTGGCTTTAAAGCAAGTTCCTGGACTGAAGAAACTTCAAGGAGGCTAGTCGCTAGGGAGAGGAAGCCGGGCATTGCTATGTGACATCATTACCCAGTGCCCACAACCACCATTTCTAGCCTGGGCTGGGCTGTGGGTCGTGTTTTGCGCCATGGGGTCTTGGCAGCATTGGCTGCGATTTGGTGGGGTGTCACTCTGGGGTGGCGGTGGGGCCTGTGTCCCACTTGGGGGAAGATGAGTGTTGGTTTGTCAGCACCAGGTCCAAGGTACCGTTTATTTTTATTTTTTTTAATATATTTTATTGATTTTTACAGAGAGGAAGGGAGAGGGATAGTTAGAAATATCGATGAGAGAGAAACATCAATCAGCTGCTTCCTGCACAGTCCCTACTGGGGATGTGCCCGTAAGCAAGGTACATGCCCCTGACTGGAATCGAACCCGGGACCCTTCAGTCCACAGGCTGACACTCTATCCACTGAGCAAAACTGGCCAGGGCAGTGCCGTTTATTTTTAAATGGCCAGTGCGCATCGTGGCAGCTCCTGCGTTGAGCGTCTGCCCCCTGGTGGTCAGTGTGTGTCACAGCTACCGGTCAGACAAATGGTCACTTAGCCTTTTATAAATATATAGATTACCACAGTATCCTGTTTTGTGCTCCAAAGAATCTACCAAAATCTGTAATTATTTAATTAATGTATTTGGTTGCTTATTTAACATCTGTTCTTTCCCCTCACTCCATCATGGATCTGGCTACAGAACATGTAGGGCTTACTACAAAATAAAAATTTAGGGAAGACCCTTCAAAATTATTAATAATACTGAGATGAATATAAGACCTTTCTGAGAGCAGAGTCTTGGGTGACTCTACAGGTCACATGCCCATGAAGCCACCCTGCTTCCTCACCACTGGGATATAGTATATATATATTTATTCTTAGGTGAGGATTAAAAAACAAATAAATAACTAAATTGACAACTGAAAGAAAAAGTTGAAACAGAATACCTTTTGACTCACCAACTCAATGAATATGATAGCTCTTACTAAAATCCCATTCCCTGTTAGTATGCCCATTTATAGATCTTTTCCAAGAAGATGGAACTCCTGGGGCATAGCTCAGTGGCAATTTTCCTCATTAAAAGGTCCCGCTAGACCAGCGTTCTCAACCTGTGGGTCGCGACCCCTTGGGGGGGGTCAAACGACCCTTTCACAGGGTTCACCTAAGACCATCGGAAAACACATATATCCTATATAATAAAAGCCTAATATGCAAGTTGTCCCCTCAGGCAGTCGTTTGACCTGGAGTTCGACCACTTGCTATGACGTGCACTGACCACCAGGGGGCGGCGCAGAACATGGCTGGCATCAGTGATGTGGCACTGGGTGCAGTGGAGGTGCTGCCAGCCCTGATGGGCCCCCGACGAGAGCGGGACTGGTGGGATGGTGGAGCAGGTGAGTGGGTGGTGCTAGGCCAAGGCAGGTGCAAGTGGGAGCCAAATCACTCTGCCAATCACCCTGCAGATGGCAACCACTGGTGGAAGCGGGGACGCTGCCTGACTCTCAGGCACTGAGGGAGCAGGGTGGGGGGCCCAGCCCCACATTCAGGATGGTGGAGCAGGTGAGGGGCAGAACCAGGTCAAGGTAGAGTACTATGTGGAGCTGCGGGGCTGCAAGCCTGGGGGCGCAAGCTGGGGCTGTGACCCTGGGGGCACGAGCTGGGGCCCAATCCCTGCAGTCCACCCAAGGGACCCCACCTGTGCACGAATTCGTGCACCAGGCCTCTAGTAATTACATATTGTTTTTGTGATTAATCACTATGCTTTAATTATGTTCCATTTGTAACAATGAAATTGGGGGTCACCAGAACATGAGGAACTGTATTAAAGGGTCGCGGCATTAGGAAGGTTGAGAACCACTGCTCTAGACCCATCTAGATCTCATGGCTTTCATTCAAGAATGTGCACCCTAGAAGTCCTCTTCCCATCAATATGGTGGGGGTATTGTTGTGTGGGAGCTGGGAACTTCTCTGCCTGCTACAGCCCCAGCAGCAGGTATATTATATCTTTAGAAGAATCCATGAAAAGGACTCTGACTTACTCCAATTTGCAGGCTTCTAAGGAGGTCATATCTTTGAATTGGATGAAGTTTTCTAGAGCTTGAAGGAATAACTGAGTTCAAAAAACTACTGGCAAATAATCAGGATAAACAAAAGTAACTATGGGACTAAATAGAATAATTATTCTTATGACTGTTTAAAATATTGTTCATTTTTTAATCCTTTGTTTCCCAAATATAAGGAAAACTAAAAAGCAGACATTTTGCATTGTAGGAACTACCAAATTAGTAACATTCATTTCACTGTACTCCTAGGAGACAAAGATTCAAAGACTACGACAACCCTGAGATTTTTGTCCACTGGGAAATACGTTAATAAAAGTCTCTCTCCAACAGCATTAAAGAGACCTTACCTTATCAGGTAGCTGACCACGAATGGACATCTACCCCATCTCTGACACTCGCCTTCATCTCAAGGATGAGAAGCCGCCAACTACGATGTCAGCAAGGCCTGTATGCTTACAAATTGATGCTGCTCAAACTTGTTCTTATATCACCTAATTGTTATCGATTGAATGTATATAAAGTGATTTTTATATTCTATTTAAAAAAGAAAAAAGAATGTGCACCCTTGCTGGTTTGGCTCAGTGGATAGAGTGTTGGTCTGCAGATTGAAGGGTCCCCAGTTTGATTCCAGTCAAGGGCACATACCCAGGTTGCAGGCTTGATCCCCAGTGTGGGGCGTGTAGGAGGCAGCCAATCAATGATTCTCTCTCATCATGGATGTTCCTATCTCTCTCTCCCTCTCCTTTCCTCTCTGAAATCAATAAAAATATATATTTTTTAAAAGAATGTGGCATAAGCCTACTTCTTTTCAAGTAGGACATCAGAAGGGCAATGTCTAACCATATTTATTTGGTAGACTGCTAACAAAATGTGTTGTACAGGGCAGCAAGCAAGCTCTAAAATGCAATAAAGTGGCTGCTCTTATAAAAAAAAGCTTTCCCACAGTCAATGATTTTATAGTTGTTTTTTTTCACTAGTGTGTTTTCTGGTGTGTGACAAGGGAAGAACTCTGGCCAAATGCTTTTCCACATTTATTACAGCAATAGGGTTTCTCTCCAGTGTGAGTTCTCCCATGCCTAACCAGGGAGGACAAAGGCTCTTCCACATTGATTGCATTCATAGGGGTTCTCTCCAGTGTGAGTTCTCCCATGCCTAACCAGGGAGGACAAAGGCTCTTCCACATTGATTGCATTCATAGGGGTTCTCACCAGTGTGAGTTCGCTCGTGCTGGTTAAGTGATGAGCCGTCAGTCGCTGAAGGCCTTCCCACATTCATTACATTCATAGGGCTTCTCACCAGTATGTGTTCGCTTGTGCAAGACCAAGTAAGAACTCTGGCAGAAGGATTTTCCACAGTCTTAGCCTTTATAGGGCTTTTCCCCCGTGTGAGTCCTCTGATACTGGGTAAGAGATGAAATCCTGTTGGAGGCTTTCCCACATTCACTGCACACATAGGGCGTCTCTCCACTATGAGTTCTCAAATGTCGACTGAGGGTTGAGTGGTGTGTAAAGGTCCTCCCACATTCCTGACATTCATATGGTCTCTCTCCTGTAGGAATTCTCTGGTGTTCACTCAGCGAATGCCTCCGGTTAAACACTTTCCCACGCTGGGAACATTCATAGGGTTTCTTCACCGCATTAGTTTTGCTACATATTGTAAAAGTTGTATATGATGACTAAATGATTTCCCACTTTCTGCATATGTTTCAGGTCTTTTGTGTTGCCTAAGGGGACAATTTTGGCTGAGGTCTTTCCCACATTCATTACTTTCACAGAGTCCGTGGTCTGTGTATCTCATCTGGTGATGGTTTAAGTATGGACTCGCTACCAAACACTCAGATCTAGGCCACAGTCACGGAAGTGTCTTCCTACAGAACCTCCCTGTGACAAAACAAGGTCTGTGCTCAGATTACAGTTTTCCCCAACTTCATGCCAGGCAGTAGCCTTCTCTAGAGCAAATGCCTTTAATTGGATGTATACCATTTGCCTCAAAGCCTCTGGAGGTCTTCCTGGTTCTCCTCCAGGTGACCACATCCCCAGTCTTCTCTGGGGAGCTTTATCATATTCATACCACCAGATGGTTCTTCCTCCAAAACCCCCTTCTTGTAAATTGACTCTTGGTGTTTTAGTCCAATATCCCAATCTGAAGTTAATTGAGGGGACCAAAAAATAAAAGTAAAAAAAGAACAAAACTTCTAACTTAAGAATGGTGGGACAGAAGTACCTACAATATATACAAGGCACATGTGGATTCATGTTCAAGTATCAACTTTCAACACGGGGGAAGGACAGGAAAGTGAGAGATGGGTCAGTAAGCTGGTGTGCTGGGACAGGATGCAGTGGGAAAAGTTTGACAATGGTGAAAATGGAGAAAATGTAAATGTACAAGAATTGCTCTATAAAAAAAGGGGGGAATAAGAATGTCAGAGAGCCCTAACCGGTTTGACTCAGTGGACAGAGCGTCGGCCAGTGGACTGAAGGGTCCCAGGTTCGATTCTGGTCAAGAGCATATACCTTGGTTGCAGGCACATCCCCAGTAGGGAGTGTGCAGGAGACAGCTGATCGATGTTTCTCTCTCATCAATGTTTCTAATTCTCTATCCCCTTCCCTTCCTCTCTGTAAAAAATCAATAAAATATATTTTTTAAAATGTCAGAGAGAAAGAATTATCAAGAAAGGAGGAAGGTAAGAGATGTAACTAGAAACACAGATAGAATGGCTTCATGAATGAAAGGGGATGTTCTTTCCTCTGCACCCAAGAGGAGAAGGTAGTATGTGAAAGGTGAGTGTTGCCGGAGGATGAACTGAAGGCATCTGAGAGAGTGCCACCGAGGACCTAGGCCTTCTCCCTATACAATTAGGGCCTCTGTGGAGAGATCTCTGACCTACAATCCCCAAGACACTGCCTCCATCCCAATGGCTCGTCTGCTTGGTTCTCACCTGAACAGGAGGCTTGGGAAACCTCCTTCCTCCCCCCTCCCCCCGGCCCCATCAACATGGCTTCTCCTTGTTCCAAGTGAAAAGACACCTGTGGCCGAAAGAGTGAACACCCTTTCCATAGGGTGTTCATAATAAAGCTACAAAAAATAAATAAAATGTTCTGTAAAATTACATTTACAGAAGTGTATGTATTTATTTTTTAAGACCCATAGAAAAGTGGACTCACACAGTTCAAACCCATGTTGTTCAGGAGTCAACTGGACAGCCCTGGCTGGTGTGCTCAATGGCTAGAACGTTGGCCTGCGCACCAAAAGGTTGCAGGTCCGATCCCCAACCCAAGTGGGGAAGCATGCAGGAGGTAACCAATTGATGTGTCTCTCTCACATCTCTCTCTCTCTCTCCTCTCTCTCCCCCGCTCCTCTCTCTTCCCCTCTTCCTCCTTCTCTCCCACTCTCCCTAAAAACCAATGGGAAAAATATCCTCGGGTGAGGATTAAACAAACAAACAAACAAACAAACAAAAAAGAGTCAACTGGACAGTCACATTGTAGATGTGAACTTGGGGGAACACCATTCAGCCACGCATAACCTCCTAGACCCACATTCTGAAAGGCTCCTTTGTGACCCTCACAGGTGCGCCCATCCCTTGCATGTCTCAGATTCCTCTCTCCCTTCCTGGCTTCTCCCTAATCCCCTCTGGACTATCTTCTGCCAAACCGCTCTGGCCCGGTAGCAGGACGCATCCAGATGGGCTTGTCCCATGTTATTTACGAGAAACGGGAACACATGGCCCTGGAAGCCCATGGGAAATTCGAAGCTCCCACATGCCCACAGGACTCACGTCCCTTTCAGGGAAAGAGGTGATCCTGGTACCTCTGCTCAGTGACAGGACTCTCTCCTTGAGCAGATTTTAGTCAGGCCCAATTTTAGGAAGAATTCTGCTAAGGTGGTTAATCAAGTATCCTTCATCTTCCATATCTGACCACTCTTTTTTATATATATAATATACTAGAGGCCCAGTGCACAAAATTCGTGCATGGTTAGGGTCCCTCCCTTCTCCCTGGCTGCCTGCCACTGCCGCTGCTGGCCCCGCCCCCTGGTCAAACTCCCAGTCGAACTCCCTGTCAAATTCCCGGTGGAGAGGACAATTTGCATATTAGGCTTTTATTATATAGGATTTTTATTGATTTCAGAGAGGAGGGAGAGGGACGGAGAGAGAGGGAGAGAGAAAGATCAACGATGAGAGAGAATCATTGATTGGCTACCTCCTGCACACCCCACACTGGGGATTGAGCCTGCAACCCAGGCATGAGCCCTGACCAGGAATCTAACCATGACTCCTGGTTCAAGGATTTACACTCAACCACTGAGCCACGCCAACTGGGCCATATCCAATCACTCTTGATACCTAACACAGTTCCTCACCACCCACCCACCCAGGCAATGTTCGATCGCCCCGCCTATAGCAGGAATCCTGTTAGGTGGTGTAGCCAGAACCCCCCTGATATTTCCCCTTAGCAATTTCCCATCCACTGACCCACCTACTCGTTGGCTGTAAGTCCCCACTTGTCACACTGTACTTGGAGTTGGGCCCAGGTCTACACTAAGCTCTCTTCTCCGCATTGCAGGAGCTCCTGATTTGAATCGGTTTCTACCGCTCTGATGACTCTCTGGCTCTGGTTCTGGTTGACAAAACCCCGGGACAGTCCTGCTTTGTCCTCGCTCACCATGAGGGAGCGTCCGCCTGCTCTTGGTGATATAAACAGCAAACCCTCACCCAGACTCCTGAGTAAGAAATAGGGGCTGTGTACTGAACACCTCCTGTGGGCGTGATCTGTATTCACAGATGCAACCTTCAAAAATCGGCCCCTCAGCCCTAGCTGGTTTGGCTCAGTGGATAGAGTGTTGGCCTGCGAACCGAAGGGTCCCAAGTTCAATTCCTGTAAAGGGCACGTATCTTGGTTGCAGGCTCCTTCCAGGCCCAGGCTCTGGTCAGGGCACGTGCAGGAGGCAACCATTCGATGTGTTGCTCTCACATCGATATTTCTCTTGTCTTTCCCTCTCTCTTCACTCTCTGTAAAAATCCATAGAAAAATATCCTCAGGTGAGGATTAAAAATAAATAAATCACCCCCTCAGACACAGATGATCAACACAGGGACACCCCAGCAAGAATTCCTGCAGACAAGACATATGGATGTGAGCTTTGTGACCGGTGAGACTCCAAGGAGAAGCAGGACATCTACAGAGCTCAAAGTCATACCCCCAAAATATTTATTAGTTACTGTCATAGTTTAAACATGTGACTGAAAATTCTTCAACACACCTTCCTCCAGGAGGTGGACCTAACCTCCCTCCCCTTCAGGGAGGATTGACTCAGCGACTGTCTTCCAGTGAACAGTGCAGATCAAGGGGAAAAGCTAACTTTGTAGGGGAGACTCCTGACAGGGCCCACCTTCCCCAGGTGACCCAGGTTAATGTCATCAGCAATGTGAGGGCATCAGGTGTCCTGACATGAGGCAGAGGGCGCCTCACCTCTGGAATATCTTCCCCAGAACCCAGAATCTCAGGGTAATCATAAGAAAACATCAAACTCAGTTTGAGGGGCCTCCTACAAAGCCCCTGACCATTGCTCTTCAAAGGTGCCACGGTCATGAAAGACAAGGAAAGACAAAGTCACCATCCAGGCTGGAGGAGCCCAAGGAGATATGACAACTTAATGTTACATGGGATCCTGCATGGGCTCCCAGACCAGGAAAAGGACGTGAGCAGGAAATATGGTGAAATCTGAAATAAAGTTTGTAGTCTAGCTAATAGTAAAGAGAGCCCAAGTTAATGTCTTAGTTGGTTTATTTTAACTTTATCATGATAAGAACATGTACAATGAGATCTATCCTCTAGCAAATGGTAAGTAGACAATATATGACCGCTGACTATAGGTACAACATTGTCCAGCACATCTCAGGGGCTTATTCACTGACACTTTATGCCTGCTGGTTGACGATTCCCCGCCCCCTTCCCCCCAGCCCCTGGTAACCACCATTCCGTTTACCAGTAATGTCTTAGTTTTGATAAATTTTCAAACGTGCTCAACATCATTAATCATCAGAAAAATACAAATCGAAACTACCATGAGATCTCACCTCACGCCTGTCAGAATGGTTATCATCAATAAATCAACTAACCACAAGTGTGGGCAAGGATGTGGAGAAAAGGGAACCCTCGTGCACTGTTGGTGGGATTGCAAATTGGTGGAGCCGCCATGGAAAACAGTATGGAGGTTCCTCAAAAATTAAAAATAGGAACTACCATATGACCCAGCAATTCCATTTCTGGGTATTTATCCAAAGAAACACACTAATGAAAAAAGATATATGCACCCCTATGTACATTGCAGCATTATTTACAATAGCCAAGATATGGTAGCAACCTAGGTGCCCATTAATGAGCCAACTGGATAAAGAGGATGTGATACATATACAATTGAATTTAATAGGTCATAAAAAGAATGAAATCTTGCCATTTTCGACAATATAAATAGACCTTAATGGTATTATGCTATGTAAGTCAGAGAAGGACAAATGCCATGATTTCACTTATATGTGGACTCTAAAAACAACAACAAAGAAAATGAATAAACAAAACAAAACAGAAACAGACCCATAGATATAGACAAGCTGATGGTTGCCAAAGAAAAGGGAATAAAAAAAAAAAAATGCCTGGCCCGTGTTGCTCAGTGGTATGAACCAGGAGGTCACAGTTCGATTCCCAGTCAGGGCACATGCCTGAGTTGCAAGTTCGATCCCCAGTAGGGGATGTGCAGGAGGCAAATGATCAATGACTCTCTCTCATCATTGATGTTTCTATCTCTCTCTTCCTCTCCCTTCCTCTCTGAAATCAATAAAAACATATTTAAAAAAAATATTAGCCCAGTCAGTGCTGCTCAGTGTTTAGAGCATTGGCCTGAGCACTGGGGGGGAGAGGGGGGGGGGTGTCTCAGGTTTAATTCCTGGTCAAGGGCATGTGTCTGGATTGCAGATTCCATCCCTCTTGGGAGGCAACCAATCCAGGTGTCTCTCTCACATTGATGTTTCTCTCCCTCTCTTAACCCCACCCGCCCTCCCACCCTCCCTCCCTTCCACTCTCTCTAAAAATCTATAGAGAAAATATCCTTGGGTGAGGATTAACAACAACAACAAAAAGATATTAACATTTGGGGATGCATTCCCAACGGGGTACTGTCACCCTTAAGGAGCTATAAATGGGTTCTTGGAGGGGAGGGAAAAGGGGAAAAATAACTTGTTCTATTTATGTATAAAGCACATATGTACATACAGTACATAAGCAGTATATACACAGTATATCTGTTGTCATGGACAAAAAAGCCCCCCCCCCCCCATCCACATGTTGAAACCCTGACTCCCAGGTGTCAGACTGTGGCTGTATTTGGAGATGGGGTCTTTATTCCCTTTGCTCTTGAGACTTTAAATTGCAGTTCATGGCAAAGGGTCCAGGACCTCCAGCCCCTTCCTAGCATTTCCAGACCAACTCTCTCACCCTTTCGTGGTTCACTGGACGCCCCCTCCCTCGTGGCTGATGCCAGCGATCCCCTCAGGTACCTCAGTTTGCTCCTCCGGAGCCTGGTTTGGCTCAGTGGCTAGAGTGTCGGACTAAAGGGTCCCAGCTTCGATTCCGGTCAAGGGCACATGTCCGGGTTGCGGGCTCGGTGCAGCCTAGCAATGATTCTCTCTTATCATTGATGTTTCTCTCTCTCTCTCTCTGAAATCAATAAAAATATATATTTTTTAAAAATCCAGACTCAGCGCCTCAACAGGGATAGAACCGGCAACCTAGGTGTGTGCCCTGACCGGGAACGATGATCCAGCCAGAGGCTCCAACCATCGAGCCGCCCATCGAGTCGCCCCGCGGGGGCTCCTAATCTTCCCTTTCCATGTTCAAACCACCAAAACGCACTTTCTCCAGAGAAAAGGCCAATGAGGACTTCCTCGCCGGGAAGGGGAGGCAGGTGAGCTCGGGTCAGCTGCCCCCTCGCTCGGTGGCAGGCGTGTGTGGACATAAAGGGAGTGGCCGCTAGGTTTCCCCAGAGCCACAAAGCTGGTGGCAGAGCAGGGTCTCCCTCCGCAATGTGGACACGGAGCAGGTCACCCGCGGAGGGGGCCGTCCTGGACAGTGTGGGGTGTCGAGCGGCATCCCTGACCCCCACACTCGATGCCAGGGACACCCCTCAGTCATGACAACCACAGATGTCCCCAGCCATGGCCCCGTGTCCGCTGGGGGTCAGGGTCACCCTCACTTGCAAACACCTGGTCTCGCCCAAGAACCAGCCCGAGAGCGTCCCCCCCTGCCTTTAAGAGCAGATGGTTTCCTCCACTCCCCTTTGATGTTCGACCGCCCGGACCTCACTCACTTCCTAGCGGTCCGCCCCCCGGGTCGGACTCGGGGTCTGTTTCTCAGGCCAGAGCCTGCCATGCTGGGAGCTGGGCGGCCTCGGACAGCGGTCAGCCTCTCGGACTCTCCTCTCTGCCGCCTCCAGGGTGACAGGTGGCGCAAACCCCTCCCGCCCGCCCCCGACCCGGTCCACCCAAGGATTTGCGCGGAACCAGGGTCTGGGTCCGAACCGCCCCCGGCCACCTATAGCCTTGTAGCGGGTGTCCGGACCCTGCAGCCCCAGGTGCGGGTGCAGGTGGCTCTTAGGGCGCCACTGGGTCCCGCGCGTCCCGCCGCAGAGGAGGTGCTCCGTGCAGCCCGCTCGGGGTGCCCCTCCCTACTTCTCCCGGGCTGACGCCCTCATTCCCTTCGCCCCGCCCCGCAGCACCGATGCAGGCGCCCAGGCACTGCGCCTGCGCACCACAAGGCTACACCAAGTCCCTCTGTGAGCCGTGACTGAGTCACAGCGCCCTCTCCTGGGCGGAGATATCTACGCCTGTGGCTGCGCACATCCACCGGCCGAGCTCAAGCACCTCCTTGTGCTTAAATAAGGAAGAAAACGCAATGTATTTGAGAAACACCGGTCACCTGCCTCCCAAAGGCGCCCCCACCTGAGATCAGACCTCCAGTCTGGGCATGTGACCTGACCCGAATGGAACCCTCCACCCTTGTGGTGCATGGGTGCCACTCCAACCAAGCGAGCCACACCGGCCAGGACAAAACGCAATTTCAGCAAGATGCCTGGGACATAAAGATTTACCATTCAAACAATCATTATAATTACAATTTATTTGAAAATTATAAAAAGATATAATCCATGGCAATAAATTGTTTTAATGATTTTATTAATATATATATATTTTTTAAATATATTTTATTGATTTTTTACAGAGAGGAAGGGAGAGAGATAGAGAGTTAGAAACATCGATGAGAGAGAATCATCGATCAGCTGCCTCCTGCACATCTCCTACTGGGGATGTGCCCGCAACCCAGGTACATGCCCTTGACCGGAATCGAACCTGGGACCTCTCAGTCCGCAGGCCGACGCTCTATCCACTGAGCCAAACCGGTTTCGGCAATTTTATTAATATATTAACCTATGTTAATATTCGTTAAAATAAAACTACCATAATTGGATTAATATATATTACTAATATATTACTAATTATACTATTATATAATTAAATATAATATATAATAAAATGTAATCATTTAATAAGATAAAATAATTATCAATAAACTATATAAGTATATAAAATTATGTATTATTATCATTGAGCCAAACCATAATGTGTTCTCTCCCCCCATATTTCTCTTGCTTTTTCTCTACAAGGGTGGGCAACAGTAGGTTTATAGTTGTATGTGAAACAGTTTATTCTTGTATTATTATTTATTAATTATTGTATTATTTATTTGTATTAGAACTGTAAACCTACTGTTGCCAACCCCCTGTATGCAGTTTTGTATATGTAGTAACCCAAGCCGTCTGCTGCATGTTTTCTATTAGAGAAGAAATGGGATCCCCCTGGAAGTTGGGAGATGCTGACAAGGCTTCTTCCATCATAACAGATGATCTCTTTGTACTTGGTGCTTTATATGAGACTAGTGGCCCGGTGCACAAAACTCGTGCATGGGGGTGGGGGTATCCTGCAGCCTGGCCTGCATCCTCTCCAATCTGGGACCTCCTTGGGGGATGTCCGACAGCCTGATCCCAGAGATTGGGCCTAAACCGGCAGTCGGACATCCCTCTCACAATCCTGGAGCTCTGGCTCCTAATTGCTCACCTGCCTGCCTGCCTGGTCACCCCTAACTGCCCCCCCTGCCAGCCTGGTTGCCCCTAACTGCCCCCTCCCTGCCGGCCTGGTTGCTTCTAACTGCCCCCCCTCCTGCTGGCCTGGTCACCCCTTACTGCCCCCCTACCAGCCTGATCATCCCCAATTGCTCCCCCTGCCGGCCTGCTTGCCCCCAACTGCCCCCCCTGCCAGCCTGGTCACCCCCAACTGCACCCCTGCCCACTGGCCTGGTCACCCCTAACTGCCCCCCCTGCTGGCCTGGTTGCCTCTTACTGCCCCCCACCCCCCGCCAACCTGGTCACCCCCAACTGCCCCCCTGCTAACCTGATCATCCCTCACTAACCGCCCCCGCCAGCCTGCTTGCCCCACACAGCCTGCTTGTTCAGTCATTTGGTCATCCCTCACTAACCCCCCCCCGCTGGCCTGGTCGCCCCACACAGCCTGCTTGTTCAATTGTTTGGCTTGCAACAAGTAAGAGGTAACTCTGAGAAAGGGTCCTAATCTATTCTGCCTGAGCACCTGTTGATCATAGGACAAAGTCACAATCATATTTATAATTATCCTATATAATAAAGAGGTAATATGCAAATTAACCCTCATGCCCTCACAAACTGCAATCAACCCCAAGGCAAACCAGATGAATGAATAAACAAACATATCTGTATAATGGAATACAAGCCACAGAGAAAAAGAAACCCACATGAACACATCTCAGAATAATTATCCCTAGCACAAGAAGCCAGACCAAATCAATAAGAGGCCACCGTGTGATTTCATTTCTGTAAAGACAGAAAATTCAAATAAGTCAATAGAGACCTGGGTGAAGGGGTGCTTGGGGGAAGGGGACTGCAGACAGGCACAGGGAAACGGGGTGACAAGCATATCACCTTAATTGTGCTGAAGGTTTCAGGAGTACTAGTATACAGGATGTCAAAACTTACCCCATTGTCATTCGTCTTATGGAGAATTTACTTCAGTACCGCTATTTAAAAACATCTGCATCCCCCCTCCCAGACCTGACCATGGCTCTGCGATCATTCGGCTCAGCCTCGATGGGAAGTCAGGAGTCCCAGGCTCCAGCCTGGCCACGTTTCTGATTGCCACATCTGGGTGAGTCCTGCCCTTCGGCCCCTCTCCTGCCGTCTCCCTGGCTGGGGGGAGGGGAGGGCGGTCTGCTAAGTCCAGACCAGAACAGACACACCCTCCCAAGTACTCCTGCACTGCCGCTCCAGCCCTGATTATCTCACCATTAGATCTGAGAGACAGTGGGGGGCGGGGGGGGGGGGTAAAGGGAGAAATGGGGGTTCTAAAAGGCTCCAAGAGGGCAGTCTGCCCTGACAAGTCCAGCTTCAGCTTCTGCCTATCTCAGGGCAGGGACAAGGTCAAGGACAGAACTCTGGGTTGCCACTCAGTCTTAAGCACAAAAGGGAATTCATTTGGCTTCTAATCGTGACCTTGGGGGGTCGAGATCAGGTAGGTGCACGGTGGCATCCTGGGGAGGCCCCTCATGGCTCTGGTTCCCTCTGGGCTGCTGGCCTCACTCTGAGTGGCTGTGTTTGCCCAACAGTTTATATTTGCCCAGTTTCAAATCCAGTGAAAAAGGAATTTCTTTTTTCAAACAGTTCCAACAAGTCACAGTCCCGACAGCACCAGCCCTAATGCACTGTTTGTCCCCCCATGAACTAACTGAACGCTGTGGCGGGGAGATGGCCCACACAGAGGGGGTTGCCTTACCCTAGACCAGTGGTTCTCAACCTTCCTAATGCCGCGACCCATTAATACAGTTCCTCATGTTATGGTGACCCCCAATTTCATCATTACAAATTGAACATAATTAAAGCATAGTGATTAATCACAAAAACAGTATGTAATTATATATGTTTTCTGATGGTCTTAGGCGACCCCTGTGAAAGGGTCGTTCGACCCCCAAAGGGGTCGCGACCCACAGGTTGAGAACCGCTGCCCTAGACAGTAATCTCTGGGTGGACTGAGTGGGCCCCTGGCCTCATGGGCTGCAGAGGGCTGGGCGGAAGGCCCACAGGAAGATTGGCTCGTGAGGATGGGAGGATGGCATTGGCCTGCGACCCTGCACAGTTAAGGCGAACTCGGTGCCCCGGGAAGCCATGGGGGCCCAGTCCGTGCTGGAAGCCCACCCAGGGCCACACTCACTTAATAGTCCACTCTGAGACTTGAACCCAGACCCCCTGCTGCCCAGGTCAGGCTGGACCCACTGCCCACACCACCTGACAACATCCAGATTGAACTCACATTTCACGAGATGAGTTTGCTTGTGCAGGGACAGAGCCGTCCTCACCAGGAAGGCCCTACATAGCCATCTCTTGCCGGCTGCTGGCTTTGGCAGGCACTGTTGGATGAGGACACTTGGAAGGAGAGGATGCTGGCCCTGACCCTGCGCTGGCCCACCTGTGACACCTGCAGGGAGGATGAGGAGGAAACGGCGTGCGCAGACCCCAAGTGTTGGCACACCTGTTGTGAGTCCCGCCGCGTCCCATGGCACCACCTGCCCCTTTCAGGGGTGAAAGGAGTGAAGCTACTGGAGGGCACCAGCGTCCTGAGAGCGACAGGGCTGGAGGGAACCTGCTGAAGGATCAAAGCTGAGTGGACATGAAGGCCGGGGTGCGGACAGGACTGGCATGGACGGGGGCAGAGATGGGTGGCCAGCAGCCTTAATACCTGATTCCCTGGAGCAGCGATTTTCAACCTTTTTCATCTCATGGCACACATACACTAACTACGACAATTCCCGGCACGCCAACATTGTTTTGCTGATCTGACAAAAAATAGATGTAATTTTGTTTCATTCACACCGGATGGCTATTGTGTTGGCTGCTGCATTTTTGAATTTGACAATCTAAGGGAAAAGAGGTCAGTGTCCCTACTAAATAGTCAGGTGTTGCATGTTTTAAAAATTCTCGTGGCGCACCAGTTGGAAATTGCTGCCCTGTTGGTTGGAGGCCATCCACCAGGTGCCCCCGCCCCTGTGCGCTCGGGTTGCATCAAACCCCAACCAGCAAGTATGTATAAAAAGGTTACCAACATTGCAAAACACAAAAGCTCGGTCCTTTTATTTTTTTAATCCTCAGCGGAGGACACGTTCATTGGTTATTTTAGAGAGAGAAACGTCGACCTGAGAGAGCAACATCGATCTGTTGCCTCCTGCACAGACCCCAACTGGGGCTGGGGTATTAAACCCGAAACCTAGGTATGTGCCCTGGCCGGGAATCACACCCACAACCCTTTACAGGGACAACGCTCCAACCCAGTCACACTGGCCAGGGCTTTTTAAACATTTCCAGGTCACCTCCACCTTCCAGGCACGGCCCTCTTGGCCACACGGTGCCTACAAGCTCTGGACAGGCCCGGCCAAGAGAACCCTTGCCCCAGAGTTTAAGATACAGATGTGGGTTCAGGGAGCTCTGTGCTAGGTCTACATAAGGGGGGACCCCACAGCAGGGCTGGGGAGGATGGTCAGGTGAGGGACAGGCAGCTGTCCCCACTAAGAACAGGCCACCTGGGCCTTGGGGAGAAAGATCAAGGTGCTGCATGACCCCTCGCTCCACTGACTGGTCCTCTTTGCAGGGGGCGGACGGGGGCCGGGGGGCAAAAACTGAAGTGAGCGATTCAATGGCAAAAGGCAGGACCCCTTGCTCCAGGGAAGAAAATGGACTTTTCAGACCAAATGAAGAGGGAACAGCCACCCATCCTGCTCAATGATGAAGAACCCTTTCCAAATTCCTACTGCAACCAAAATGACCACTAGGGCCTTTCTGAAGAATTACCGGAGAGGCTGGGAAGGCCATCCTTCCTCGTGGCTCAGGCTTTCCACATTGCTAACAGCCAGCCTGAGTGGCAAGTAGGACAGGGCACACCTGCCTTTCAGTCCTCAAGGTCATGTGGACAAGAAAGGGCTGCCAGCAGCTGTGTCCCAACAGAAACCAGCTCCTGTCAAACTGCAAACCCAGCGTGGCCACCGGGCCAGAAAAGAAGTCCCGCACGGAGCCGCCGGCAACTGCCCTGTCCCCCAGGCTGATCGCCAGGTCAGGGCTTAATGGGAGCTCTTCCTAGGGACCCACACCGATCACAAGGTGGAAACCGATGTTCCACTATTCCACGCAGAAAGGACAGGCGTCAGAGAACAGAGCTGTCTCTTTTTTCCTTTTTTTTTTAATGGATGAATTTCAAAGAACCCATCCCTTTCCTAGGACAAATGACCAGGAAGGGGCTATATTAGTGCAACAAAGAGGAAGGCTTGCCCGGACACAAGCGCTCCCCGGACATCTTGAGGACGAGCTCTCTTCAGCCCAGGCTGGCCACTGAGTGAGGTCATGAACACTGGCTATGAGAAATGACCAGAGAGAACGGCCCCTCTCTCACCCTGCCCCTCCCTCCCCGGGACGCTGAGCTGGAGGCCACCGTCTCCCACCGTTTCCAGGCTGGGAGCTAAGGCACCAGGGCAGCGGGAGCTAGAGCCCCCATCCAGGGCTGGCGGGACCCCCGGGCGCATCAGCAGGCCAGCAGCTTGCTGCCCTCCACCTGCAGGCCTTTGCTCAGGAGGAAGGCGTCCTGCTTGGGGTCACGACCCAGGAAGAGCTTCAGCATGACGCTGGCGTCCTCGGAGCCACCTGGTCTCAGGATGCAGCTTCTGTAGTCCAAGCCGACCTGCAGGGGGACGGGGGGCGGGGCTGTCGAGGGTCCTCCAGCATCCCTCCCCAGCTCCCAGGGGGCCTATGGGCGCCCACATCAACATCACGAGGGAGTGTGGGCTGACACTTTGATGGGGATCTCAGAGCAAGTGTGCAAGTGTGTGTGTAAGACTGAACGTGCACACAGTGTGCCTGCAGGAACCCTGTCCCTCGGGACAGGGGTGGCTGAGCTTCTGCTGTGACTAAACAAAGGGCTGGGAAACTGGCTGAGCCCCGAGCCCCACAGGGTTTCAGGTAGAGGCCTGAAGAGCCAAAGGAGGGCCCGACTCTGCCCGGTGCCCTGCCCTGCCAGGGCTGCTGCACAGGCTCTCAGGCCCGAGGCCAAGGGCAACTGTTCTCGGTCCTGGGCAGTAGGGAGCAGCACTGGACGTCCTCCCCTCACCTTGCCATTGAGGACGCCCTCCTGCTTGAAGCGTGTGTGGAACATGTCCATGGAGTACACCTCGCTCCACAGGTAGCCGTAGTACTGTGCGTCGTAGCCGCCCGCCAGGTGGCCGAAGGTCGCAGGCATGTTGGTCCCTGGGAAGACACATGAGGCTATCGCTGTGCCCTGGCCTGATCTCCGACTCCCTCTAATAAGAGGGGGTTTCAGAGCAGCCACATCAGAGATACTCGCACCTGGAAGGGGGAACCTGCCCTGACACTCCCAGAAAGCAGGGCCAGGGGCTTGGCCAGAGGAACTCAATCAGCCTGTGCCTGGCAGCTGCTGACATGCAGAGGGCTCCCCCGCAGCATTTCAACAACGCAAGCTGCCACCGCCCAGGGTTCAATGTTGGGAGACCCTGGGGTAAGGCAAGGCTCGCCCACACCACAGAGAACATGTGTCGATTAAGACACTTTTGAGCCCTAACCGGTTTGGCTCAGTGGGTAGAGCGTCAGCCTGCGGACTCAAGGGTCCCAGGTTTGATTCCCCTCAAGGGCATGTACCTTGGCTGCGGGCACATCCCCAGTAGGGGGTGTGCAGGAGGCAGCTAATCGATGTTTCTCTCTTATCAATGTTTCTAACTCTCTATTCCTCTCCCTTCCTCTCTGTAAAAAATCAATTAAATATATTCTTAAAAAACAAAAATAACCTTGTCTACTGTCATCCCCGGAGTATGAGATCACCCGTATTTCCTGCGCCTCCCGGCTTTTCACAAAGCCATGTGTGGGAGGTCGCCCCGGGGAGGCGCAGGAAGGCACTGTGGACATGGAAGGGACACACAGCCAGTGAGGAAGGATGGAGTCACCCACACCAGCTGCCCATCAGGCTCCGCACTGGAGCCAAGGTCTGGGAACGCAAAGCAGGAGGGAGGCCAGGGGCCGCCTGCTTCTCTCCGGTCAGCTGAACCTATAAACTGTCCCAACTCCCTTCATGCGGCGCGAGGTCTTTTCTGACCCAGAGGACAGAGACGCCCTAACTTCCGAGGTGGGCCAGGCCCACGGGCAGCTACCTGGCGTGGCTGGGACCCCAAGGATCTCCTGGCAGAGGCGGGAATACTCCTCGGCTGGCTCGGCGGCCTTCTGCGTGTGCAGGGCCTGGTCCACCTTGGCCAGGACGATCTGGCGCAGGTTGAAGAGACCTAGTCAGGAGGAAGGAGATGGGAGGCTGGCCCCGTGCTCTGCCCAGCCCTCCAGTCGGGGCGGCCCAGAAATCCCCGCGGGCATACCCGGGCCTCACAGGCTGCAGCACGGGCACCAAGAACTCCCCTATTTCCCTGGCCTCAGGGATGAGGGCTACAGAGGCGGGGCGCGTTAGGACACACCTGTGTTGGCCTGCCGGGACTTGATGAGCTTCTCGAGCAGCTCCTGGGGGATGGCGCTGCCCGTCCTGTAATGCTGCGACATCCGGAGCAGCGGCTCCTTCTCCCAGACCCAGTTCTCCAGCATCTGAGAAGGCGCCTCCACAAAGTCACGCTCCACATGCGTCCCACTGAACATGGCAAACTCCGCCTGTGGGGACGAGGCAGAGAGCCCAGGCATGCCATACCCTGCTTGGCCAGCTCCTGTCCACCTGGGCGGGTGGATAACATCCTAGGCGGGACCTTTCCTCCCCCACACCATGAGGCGTGGCCGAGGATGGGGACTAGCACATTTCCCTAGGCAGCTGCTGGCTGACCTGTCTCAGCCAGGGACACACTGGGAGGCAGAGAGCACCCATGTTCCCTGCTAGCCACCCAGCTTCCCTCTCCCACCCATGAAGCCAACACTCTCAAAAAGCCTGTCCCCCAAAGGCCAAAGCCTGGAAACAGTGGAACCTGATGACAGATGCTGGAAGGTACACTGTATTCTTATCCACTTTTGGGTGTCTGAGATTTTTCCTGAAAAATAGCACTTGATCCAGTGCAGCCAAAACCTGGGTCTGGCAGCTAATCAGCCAAACAAGCTGCTGAGAGATTTAGCCAGTTAAGTGCCACGATACTTTGAATTTAATTAAAGAAGGCCCGCTGCTTGCGTCTATAGACGCTTGTGGCAGCTAACTGGTTAAGGAGCCCTATCCAGGCCCTCAGTGAGGCAGGGGGCCTGGGAGAGGAGGACACATGGTCACATTCATAGTGGCCCATCCACACTCTGGAACATGACTCGGCCATGAAAAGGAGTGAGGCACCGACACTCACTACAACATGGACGGACCTTGCACACATGACGCTCAGTGAGAGGCCAGACACAAAAGGCCACACAGTGTGTGAGTCCATCAGTGTGATATGTCCAGGACAGGCACATCCAGAGAGAGAGAGTGGATTAGTGGCTGCCAGGGGCTGGGGAGGGGGTGGGCAGAGTGGGGAGTGACAGCTAATGGGCAAGGAGGATCTTTTGGGGGCGATGGAATATTACAGAACTGGACAGTGACGATGGCTGTACAGCTTGGTGAACTAAAAATCACTGAGCACCCAGTTCCCACCCACTCCCATTTAGCCCCCAAGCACATTTTTGTTATCAGGAGGAAGGGCTGACTGTGTGAGAGGGGCCATGCGCACAGGTGGGTCCCGTGGCCCGGACACCAGGCTGGGGGCCCAGAACACCCAGGTGAGTCCTGTCTCTGCCACTGAGGGCCTCCATGGGGAAGTTGCTTCAACTTCCTAAGGTTCCATGTCTGCCCCTCGCCCTCCTCACTGGGCTGAGTGAGTGTGCACAGAACCCAGAGCCACCTCTCACTGGGCTGAGTGAGTGTGCACAGAATCCAGAGCCACCTCTCACTGGACTGAGTGTGCACTGAATCCAGAGCCGCCTCTCACTGGGCTGAGTGTGCACTGAATCCAGAGCCGCCTCTCACTGGGGTGAGTGAGTGTGCACTGAATCCAGAGCCGCCTCTCACTGGGGTGAGTGTGCACTGAATCCAGAGCCGCCTTTCACTGGGCTGAGTGAGTGTGCACTGAACCCAGAGCCGCCTCTCACTGGGCTGAGTGTGCACTGAATCCAGAGCCGCCTCTCACTGGGGTGAGTGAGTGTGCACTGAATCCAGAGCCGCCTCTCACTGGGCTGAGTGAGTGTGCACAGAATCCAGAGCCACCTCTCACTGGACTGAGTATGCACTGAATCCAGAGCTGCCTCTCACTGGGCTGAGTGTGCACTGAACCCAGAGCCGCCTCTCACTGGGCTGAGTGAGTGTACACAGAACCCAGAGCCGCCTCTCACTGGGGTGTGAGTGTACACAGAACCCAGAGCCGCCTCTCACTGGGCTGAGTGTGTGTACACAGAACCCAGAGCCACCTCTCACTGGGCTGAGTGAGTGTACACAGAACCCAGAGCCGCCTCTCACTGGGCTGAGTGAGTGTGCACAGAACCCAGAGCCGCCTCTCACTGGGCTGTGAGTGTACACAGAACCCAGAGCCACCTCTCACTGGGCTGAGTGAGTGTGCACAGAACCCAGAGCCGCCTCTCACTGGGCTGTGAGTGTACACAGAACCCAGAGCCGCCTCTCACTGGGCTGAGTGAGTGTGCACAGAACCCAGAGCCGCCTCTCACTGGGCTGTGAGTGTACACAGAACCCAGAGCCGCCTCTGGGCTCAGTGAGGGGGCACGGAATCCAGAGCTGGCTCTGTGTCTGGGTCCTGCAACATGTGCTCTGGCTGTCATCGCTGGCTTTCACAGGATCATGCATATTTCTTAATGTGAGCTAGCAGGAGATGAGGCTAGCATGAACACTACTCTAAGCATGTTACATATGTATATTATCTTCACTAACCTAACAGTACTCTGAGAGCTATTATGGGCTGACTGTGTCTCTCCAAAATTCATATATTGGAATCCTGACCTTCAAGACCTCAGAATATGACTATGCGTGGAGATGGGATCTTTAAGAGGTGATTAAATGAGGTCACTAAAATAGGCCCTAATCCAATATGACCACTGTCTTATAAGAAAAGATCAGGACACAGACACACACAGAGGGACAATCACGTGAGGACATGTGGAAAAGCTGGCATCTACACACCCAGGAGAGAGAGCTCACCAACCCTGCCCCCACACTGACCCCGGACTTCTAGCCTCCAGCACCAGGACATCAGACATTTCTGTTGTGTAAGCCACCCCTGTGGGGCTTTGTGATGGAAATGAATTCAACAGGGTATTACCCTATCCATGGCAATGCCACATGAAGAATCCAACACGGAGAAAACTGCCTCCAGACCCACTAACCACCAGGCGCAGGGGGGGCGCCCCTGCCCTTCTTCCCTGCCAGCCCCTGGCCCCATACCCACCTGAGAGCAGAGCTGGTGCATCACATGCCCAAACTCATGGAAGTAGGTCTCCACCTCATCATGCTGCAGCAGGGAGGGGGCATCCGGGGTGGGCTTGGTGAAGTTGGCCACCATGGCCGCGATGGCGATCTGGCGGCTCCCGTCCTGTCGCAGACAGCCTGGCTGCAGGCCAAAGCAGGCTGCGTGCCCATACTTGCCTTCCCTGGGGATTATGGGGGGAGGGAGGGGGCAGGGTCAGGCCTGGCTGGGGGTCTGCTCTGCTTGCTAACTGGCCCAGAGGGGTAGCGACCCCAGGCTGGTCCCAATTCTGCCACTACCTGACCCTGCATCCCTCCATTAACCCACCTGCCAGCTGAGGCTAACAGACACCCTGAGGGCTCTCAGCAGAGGAGGGAGTGCACACATCCCCAGAGGTATGAACGCTCCTGGCTCCTGGCCCCCCACCCTTCCGCCGCAGCTCACACGCACCGGGGGTAGAGGTCCAGGTAGAATTTCCCGATGACCGTTCCCGAGGCCGTGTCCCTCACTGAGTACAGCTTCACGTCTTCGTGCCACACAGCGGCGTGCTCCTCCAGGTCAAAGGTCAGCCCCAGCAACTCCTGGTAGATGCCCAGCAGCCCCCTGGTGACCACCTGCATGGGGAAGTACTCCTTGAGCAGGTTCTGGTCCACGCTGTAGCACGTCTCCTCCACCTGGTTCATGTAGTAGCGCATGTCCCAGGCATTGATCCGCCCATCGAAGTCCAGGCCCCGCTTCTCACACTCGGCCTTCTTCAGCTCCAGGATCACCGCCCGCTCCTGCTCCCCAAGGGGCTTCAGCTTCTGTGCCAGCTCGTCTGGGGGTACAGAGGGGAAAGGCAAGGCTACCTCCCTGCAGCGGGCACACCAGAGCTGCCCATTCTCACCCCCACTTGCTGGCCTCCTTTCCTCCAGCTCTCAGGGCCCTGGTGCCCCGCATGGGAAGGACAGGCCTGAGACAAAAGCTTGAGGGAGGCCAGCACCGTGTCACCCACCGCAGCCCCGGGAGAGATCACAGGTCTCGCCTTCACAAGGAGGAAACAACAGCCACATGTGAGCCGCTTTATCCAGGCCTCACACCCCGAAGGGCAGAGCAGGGCCAGTTGCAGGCCTCGCCTCAGAGCCCCAATGCTCAGCCGTGAGATTAGGATCCCTCAGGTCAAACACAGGGGTCAGAGGCGTCATAGGGACGCCCACCTCAGGATGTACAGGATGGGGCTCTCAGAAGCACCATTTCGTCAAAGTCAAGAACAGCACACGGGAGGCGGAGGAAGGCCGGTTACCTAGGAAAGTGGCCACCGTCTGGCTGGTCTTGGCCATGTTCATCTCCAGGACGTAGTCGGCGTGCGTACCGAAGCCCAGCAGGCTGGACTTCTGGGCCCGCAGGGTCACCAGCTCCCGGAGGATGGCACAGTTCTCCTGGAACCGACAAGTGGGCGGGCCTGTGGGTGCTGCTCCCGCCTGTGGGGATCCCAGGCCAGCACCCTACCCCCCGAATGGGCCTCAGCAGCTGCAGGGCTGCTCAGGCCCTGGCTGCTCCCTCCGCACCTGCTTTCCCACCCTCCTGTCCTTGGCCTGGGTCTCTACACTCTTGTTTCTGTCCTGGCACACGAGCTGTCACCCTCGGCTCCTTTGGAAACACAAAGGGTGTGAACCATGAAGGGTGCTGAAGCCGAGTGGAAAGCAATGTGGGGCCGGGGCTCTCCAGGGTGGCCTCCAGGAGGCACTGTGCACCAGGTGCCCCCACCAAGGGCCTGGTCCAGGGCTCAAGGCTGCACCACATCTCTACCAGCACCTCCGGGCAGCCAACCCAGCCAGCCAAGCTCATGGGGCCAACACAACATGAAACCCATCTGATTCACTTGCACAGAGAGACAGAGTCCATTCAGAACAGAACACTCCCACTGGCACGGCTGGTGCACAGGGAAGAAACTACACTGGGAAGGTGAGTGGAGAGCTTCCAGTCACATGAGGGGACTCAAGGCTGGGGGCCAGCAGTGCCAGTCAGCATGCCCTGTCCCCTGGGACCTGGACTCTGCCTATTCCTCCCTCCCCTTCTCCCCGCCCCGCTCTGCCTCTCAGGTCAAGCCTGGGGGCCAGGATGGGAATGGAGACAAGGGGACGCTAACCCCTATCCAGTCCTGAGCTCAAGACCCTCTAACCCAGTGGTTCTCAACCTTCCTAATGCCGCGACCCTTTAATACAGTTCCTCATGTTGTGGTGACCCCCAGTTTCATTGTTACAAATTGAACACAATTAAAGCATAGTGATTAATCACAAAAACAATATGTAATTATATATGTGTTTTCCGATGGTCTTAGGTGACCTGTGAAAGGGTCATTCGACCCCCAAAGGGGTTGTGACCCACAGGTTGAGAACCGCTGCTCTAAATTCACTGCTTAGGCGGGAACATGAGGGACCGCTGAAGAAAAGAGGGCGTCGGTGAGATTTAAGTGGGAGACGCACGACAGAAGCGGGATGAGCTCGGGACAGACGCTCTAGCCAGTGGTTCTCAACAGTCCTAACGCCGCAACCCTTTAACACAGCTCCTCATGTTGTGGTGACCTCCAACCATAAAATTATTTTCGTTGCTACTTCATAACTGTAATGCTGCTACTGTTATGAATCGTAATGTAAATATCTGATATGCAGGATGTATTTTCACTGTTTGCGACCCACGGGTTGAGAACCGCTGCCAACCCCTGCTCTGAGCAGACAGAACAGGCCCAGCGCCTCCCAGTTCCAGACACGACTGTTCCAAGGACAGAGCCTGAGGCGGAGCCCCGCAGCCGGACCCTGGCACCGCCCTCTCACCTCCTTGCATCGACAGTTGAAGGCCTCCTCCACCTTCCGTCTGGTCTCAGGGACGTGGCATTTCTTCAGGAGAGGAAAATAGTGAGGGTACTTGAGGGTGACTTTGAATTTCTCATCCTCAGTCTTCTCCAGAGAGTTCAGGAAGTCCTCAGGAAGCCCTCCTGTGAACCACATTGGGGGGCTTTTAAAGACCAGCGCAGACACGGCGGGAGGGCTGAGCTGGGAATGGGACCCAGTAGCCCTGACTATGCCCCCACTAGGCAGCAACGCCCCTCCCCAGTGGCCTAACCTGCTGCGACAGCCCCCACTCCTGACCTGTCCCTCCATGTCAGGGAACTGGGTGCAATGCCCTCGGACTGGCGCCTTCAGGGTTCCCACCTCACGGGAAAGGACGGAATGAGCCAAGAACATCATGTGTCAAAAAGAAGGTGCTCATGCCCAGGCGGTGTAGCTCAGTGGTTGAGCATCGACCTATGAACCAGGAGGTCAGGGCACAGGCTCAGGTTTCAGGCTTGATCCCTAGTGTGGGGCACGCAGGAGGCAGCCAATCAATGATTCTCTCTCAGCATTGATGTTTCTATCTCTCTATCCCTCTCCCTTCCTCTCTGTCTAAAAATCAATAAAACATATTAATTAAAAAAAAAAAAGGTGCTCAAAGACTAACAGGGATATGGCATGCTTGAATCGGCCCCTTAAAGTCATACAAGGACAACCTTAGCATCAACATAAATAACGACAGCAGTAGACCATAACCCGTTGAATGAAGTAGGATTTATAGTCCACACTGATATAGATAAATAAATCAATAAATGGGGGTAAGGGAAAGCTCTGACTTATGAAAAATCAACTAACACATGTACAAAGATTGATGGAGTTAGAAAGCCCCCATGGGTGCTGCACTGGGGTGGGAATGTGGTGGGCAGTGGTCTCAAAGCTTCTTTTGAGAAATTACTGATCATGAAGGGAAAGCTGGTCATGTCACAACGGCCACAGCTGGCAGACAATCACCTAATCCAGTAATTAAGATTCATGGGCAGGGAGGGAGCAGTTGGGGGGAGAGGAAAGGATACATATAGAAAGAGATACGTTGTCTGTATTTTGGTAAAATAACACCACGTATCCCTTTTGCAAACAGAAAAAAATAAACAAGTGCCACAGCCTTGCTCAGCCGGACCTGCAGACAGGCCGGACCCTGCCAGGCTGGCCAGACGTGTCCCAGCCGCTGCCACAGGCCCCACCCCGCGAGACACGGTTTCTGAGGCCAGGCAGGGCGAACAGTCACCTGCTCCACATGCTGGGGATTCAAGCTGCCCACACAGGAGGCCAGAGGCCAGTCCCACACAGCGAGGCCCTCAGGCTGGACAGACAGACAGCAAGGCAGTCCCATGTACAGTGAGGTTGAGTAGATTCGTTCCTGAATTCCAGAGGCCCGGGATTACCCTTTCGCCAGGAAGCACGGCGGCTTTCCTAAATGTCAGGAGCCACATGGTGGGACTTGTTGTCCGGGACACGGTGGGGACTGAATGAGAGTGAGGGGAGGCAGAGCGTAGTGGGGATCAGTCTGTGAGTCCTTGTTCCGGGAAATGCGTGTCCCTGGGTCTCTGTGTAGTGCAGCCACCCTCAGTGAGGACCCTGCACCCTGGCCACCTCCCAGGCAAAGGCTACTGGACTCAGAGCCGGATCTTACGTAACGTGACACCACACTGCACGACGCACCACTGCTTAGGACACACAGCCTCGTCAGGGGCTCTCACAGGCCGCTGCACAGCCACTGGCCTGGTTTTCAAAACGGTCAATGTTGGGAAAGATGGGGGAAAATTGCAAAAGGCTGGGCAACTGTTCGACAGGAAAGGAGCCTGATGAGACACAAAACTAAGCGGATCCCAGATGGGAGAGAGAGCACCTTGCGGAGAGCTGATGTGGGGAAACCCATCCGCACTCTCCACGGCTCTGTTCGATGCTGTTTCCTGAGTGTGAGGTCTACACCGATGACACAGGAGAACACCCCTCTTCCTGCTGAAGCGCCACGAGGCCGACAAGTCGCTCTCAGAGGTTCAGAAATTATACACGCACAGCGTCAGCAGAGGGGGAGCGGACACTAGCAGAGGGTGAGGACAGGTGAAGTGCGCAGGGCTCTCCACAGCGCCATCCTCGTCACTTTCCCATAGGTGTGAAATTTTTCAAGATAAAATATGCAGGAAAAGGGAAGTGGAGAAAAGAGTAAAAACTAGGAAGGACACCTAAGCCCTAACCCTTCAAAATTCCCGCACACAGCCAGGCTTGGGAACCACTGATTCAGTCTATCCCCTTCATTTTGTAAGTTTTTAAACAATAAAAATAATAAAGAGGGGCGAGTGTCAGGTTGATGTCCCAGCAGACAGGGCCAGAACCTGATGTCGCGGGGCCAGAATCTCAACAGACAGAACACGGCAGGACTAGATGGCTGTAGCACGTCCTACCACAGGAAGGACTAGAACCGTAGATTCCGAAACACCGAGCGCTCCAAGCGGGAAAACCCCCTTGCCCGGGGGGTCGGACAAATGCTCAGCCTCCGGGGGCGGAGGCAGCGGTCCTGGAGGGTCTCCCCGAGACCATGCCCCTGAGGCTGGCCGTCGACATGGCTGCCTCCCCCACACGGCCCTCCACGTACCCAGCTCCTCTCGTGTAAAGGGCAGGAAGGTCGTGTCCTCATTCAGGTTCTTATTGAAGTCAATGCACAGGAGACTCAGCTTCTTCTTGATGCCTTTGATTTTCTGAGAGAGAGAAGAGCCGTGAGCGGGGAGCACTGCCATTAAGATACCCTCAGGGCTGGGGCTCCCACCGACAGGAGAGGAGGCAGATAAGGTGGGGAAACAGGAGGTTTTCGGCAGAAGCACCTGTCTGCTGCACTGAGCAACCTCATGACACAGGGATTCGAGGGGTGTCCCCATCTGTTTGGGTCCCCGGCCAAGAGCCTTCTGTACCCTCCTACTGAGGAATTATCCCCAGAGTCTGCAGCTTAAGCTTTGGATATCCCAACCGAGTTCAATGTTTGCCCTTTCAGGGTCCATCTGGTTTTCAGAAACAGTTAAAAACTGACTCATCTGGGTGAGGGAGTGACACAGGGCACAAGGGAAGTGCCTGGGCCCCGGGGTGAATCCGCTGGAAGCCCCAGGGCTGCCTGGCGTGGGGAGAGAAGAGGAAACGAGGATGAAGGCAGATGCCACCCCATCAACCACAGGACTGGGAGCAGCCTCAGTTCCCAGATGGGCAACAGGGGTCGCCTCTCTCTGCAATACTGTGACACAATAAGAAACGTGCATTTGGACTTGGCCCCGTTTCGGACACGTGGCTCCTAAACCCTTGGAATTTGCCAAGTGAAAGAGGCCCAGGGGCACAAAAGTGACAGGAGCCCTTCCACCACAGCTGAGTTTATGCTAACAAGCCCACTTCCAAAACGCCCCAGAGTCACAGGATGGATCAAATTTTGTCCCACCCCATTCCCCACCTTCTGGGTGAATGAAATGTCTCCAAGGGCCACTGATTTCATCAATCGTGCAAATGTAATGAAACCTCCCGAAAGGCTGAGCTCAGAAAGCTCCTGGGGTTGGTGAACACATGCAGACGTGGGGAGAGAAGTGCACCAGGGAGGGCATGGGAGCTCCAAGCCCCTCCCCTTACCTCGGCCTCTGCATCTCTTCCATCTGTTATTGCCGAGCCATAACCTTTACACTAAGCCAGAGATCTTGTGAGTAACGGGTCCTCTGAGTTCTACAAGCCACTTAGGAAATTAATCTAGTCTAAGGAGGGGTCATGGGACCCTCCAATTCATATCACAGGTCTGAGGTAGGGGCAGGCCTGTGGGGCTGAACCTGACCCTGCGGAACCTGATGCCTTTCCTGGTACAAAGTGTCAGATTGGAGTTAACGTGTAGGACACCCAGCCGGTGCCAGAAAGTTCCTTCATGTGGGATCCTCACACATCTGGCATCAGCAGGGAAGCGTGCTGTAGCCTGGTACTGAGGGTGGAGGAGACACAGGAGTAATGAGCTTTTCCTTAATACCACTGCAGCCAACGCATGGGGACAGCTGAATAAGGTGGCATGCAGGGAGGTGCCTGATTCAGCCTGCACTCCCCCCTTCGCTGAGGGAGTCCTGTGACCCTGGGGAAGCCCCCCTTGACCCTGGAGGACTGAGAGCAGGGCAAGTGCAGAGAGAGAGCTGCTCTAGACAGATCTCCCACCACAGGGTTCAGGCAGCATTAGGCCAGAGGATGGGCCCTCAGATGGGCACGGGAAGGCATGGGACCCCCCACCCCCACCCCCACAGCTGGCACTCACTTCTTGAGTTTCCTCTGGCAGGTGGAGCCCATTCCTTCGGCCAAGCTTGATCAGTCGCTCCAGGTACCGCACTGCCTCTGGCCTCAGGGAGTCCTTCTGAACTTTTTCCTAGAGTAAGAAAAAATTCTATTTACAGTGAAGAATCATGTCAGTGCCACAGGCTGAGAGGCAGCAGAGAGACCAGCTCATTCAGATGCTGGTGAGGTTAGGTAAGAGAGTCCAGCCACTCTGGAAAACAGGCTGGTGGCTTCTTGAAAAGAGAACCGTACAATGACCGTATGACTCAGCAACTGCCCTCCTGGGCATTTATCCCAGAGAATGAAGCTGTGAGTCCACACAGAACCTGCACCCAGGTGCTTGCTCTCTGGCGTGGCACAGACTGCGACCAGCCCAGAGGGCATGCAGCAAGTGAGCCCTTCCAGAGGAATAGGTGAGCGGGCAATACCCTGCTTGTGAGGTTCACTTGGGTCCCACAGAACGATACCCTGGGGAAAATCGGACAAAGTGTAGATGAGGCCTTTCTGAATCGTTTCTCACAACTGCATGTGGGCCTGTAATTGTCTCAATAAGAATTTCAATGAAAACAACAACAATACAGCTGTGCTTCCCCAGGCCTGCGTCTGCACACGCACCAAAGCACGCCGATCCTGAGCCCGGCGTGTCAGCACATTTAAAGGGAATGAATGAGCCCTAGCCAGTTTGGCTCAGTGGATAGCGCGTTGGCCTGCGGACGAAAGGGACCTGGGTTCGATTCCAGTCAAGGGCACATACCTGGGTTACAGGCTCCTCCCTGGCCCAAGCCCTAGTCAGGTTGCCTGCAGGAGGCAACCAATCGATGTTTCTCTCACATCAACAGTTCTCTCTGTCTTGCCCTCTCTCTCTAAAAAAAAAAAAAAAAATCAATAGAAAAATATCCTTGGGTGAGGATTAAAAAAACACACCAAAAAACAAAAACAAAACGGGAGTGAATGAGCGGCATGAAGAGCGTGTGTCACCGCTACCAGCCCTCCGTCATCGGCAGTGAAGACCCCTGTCCTGCTGAGAAGAGCACCGGCTGGAGACGGCGCCCACACTCGTGCTGTGTCGCCAGCACAGGCCACTGGAACCTGCTCACCTCAGAGGGAGATAGGACATCATCTCTGAGTAACACCTAACAAGGTCAGGAGAGTGCAAGGACACGGTGGATGCGGGAAAGGCGTAAGGAGTCCTAGGATTTTCATACTGTCTTTTTTTTCATTCCTCTCCATTTGTCATTTTTAAAAAAATATATTTCTTTTTTTTATTTCAGAGAGGAAAGGAGAGGAAGAGATAGAAACATCAATGATGATGAGGGAGTCATTGATGGGCTGTCTCCTGCCAGTGGGGATTGAGCCCGCAATCCGGGCACAGGCCCCTGGCCAGAATTGAACCCGGGACCCCCCAGTCTGCAGGCTGAAGCTCTATCCACTGAGCCAAACCAGCTAGGGCTGTCTGTCATTCTTTAAATGATTTTTTAAAATTGTGGCAAAATAGATAAAACTTACCACTTTAACCACTTTCAAATGCACAGCTCAGTGGCATTAAGTCCATTTACACTGCTATGCAGTCATTCCCACCTTCCATCTCTGAAACTCTACAGTTTTCTGCCTTTTAAAACCAGGGGAGTGCCTGGCCAGTGTGGCTCAGTGGTTGAGGTCGCCCCAGGAGCCAAGAGGCTGCCAGTTCAATTCCCGATCAGGGCCCAGGCCCAGGTTGCGGGCTCGATCCCAAGTAGGGGCCGTGCAGGGGCAGCCAATTGATGATGTGCCCAGTGCCGTGTCTTCGCAGCATCCTCACCTGCAGCCAGACGATCCTCTGGTACACATCCTGCCTCATGCTCATCTCCACGTCAAACTCAGACAGCTTCTTGTCTGCCTCCGTGCTGGCTGTCCGAATGTCCTTGGATGGAGAAACGTGCTGGGGGAAGTCAAGGATATTCCTCTGAACTAAAACGGGGAGATAATGGGACAACTGTGAAACAGGGTCCCGGATGGAACCCGCAAGTGCTGACCTCACACCCCAGGCACAGAGCTCATCCCTCTTTGTTGATCTGTCCTGTGAGCATTCTCCACACGGGGACCTGGGCTGGGCACCGGAACAGAGAAATCAGTGCTGTCACCCATGTCCTCGGGATCTCATAGTCCAAACAGAAACAGATTTAGCTCACGCTGCTCCACACCAAGGACTGTAACAGGGACGTATGACAGGATCAGGAGAGGTTGACAGGATTCCATTCTAGAAAAAGAGCCACCGCTGCTGATGGCTCTATTTTATTTTACATATTTTTCGTACTGATTTTAGACAGAGAGAGAGGATGGGGATGAGAGGGGGAGGGAAGGAGGGAAACAGACATCAATTTTTTAAAAAAATATATTTTATTCATTTTTTACAGAGAGGAAGGGAGAGGGACAGAGAGTGAGAAACATCGATGAGAGAGGAACATCAATCAGCTGCCTCCTGCACGCCTCCTACTGGGGATGTGCCTGCAACCAAGGTACATGCCCTTGACCGGAATCGAACCTGGGACCCTTCAGTCTGCAGGCCAACGCTCTATCCACTGAGCCAAACAGGTCAGGGCACAGACATCAATTTGTTGTCCCACTTATTTATGGTTGAGTCTTATTTATTTATTTATTTTTATTGATTCCAGAGACAGAGAGAGAGAGAGAGAGAACCATTCATTTGTTATTCCACCTATCTCCGCATTCACCAGTTGATTCTTGTATGTGCCCTGACCAGGGATCGAGCCCGCAACCTTGGCGCACTGGGATGACGTTCTAACCAACTGAGCTACCTGGTTAGGGCCTGATGGCTTTATTTTAAATCCACAATTTTATAATTTACAGACCACATTCACACTTTGTTAAATAGAGAAGGGAGTGGCTATAAGAGCATAATTTTAACGAAGACCCATGTGACCCAGTAATTCTATCCCTAGGTGTCCACCCACGAGAAACAAAAACACATGTCCACACTGAAACCGGGGCACTCCCGCTCACAGCAGCAGGATTCATAACAACCACACGGTGGAAACAACCCACAAGCCCCTGACCGTGACTGGATATACAAATGTGGTCCATCCACATGGGACTGCTACTCAGCCACGAAAAGGACTGAAGCAGGGACACTCATTACCACGTGGGTGGACACAACATTCAGTGAGAGAAGCCAGTCACAAAAGGCCACACAGGGTGGAATCCAGGACAGACAGATCCAGCGATAGCGAGTGGATTCCCGGTTGCTGGAGGAGGGGGATGGGGCTTCTTTTTGGGGTGACAAAAAGATTCTAAAATTAGATCATGGTGGCCCTGACCAGTTTGGCTCAGTGGATAGAGCGTCAGCCTGTGGACTGAAGGGTCCCAGGTTCGATTCTGGCCAAGGGCATGTACCTTAGTTGCAGGCACATCCCCAGTAGGGGGTGTGCAGGAGGCAGCTGATCAATGTTTCTCTCTCATCGATGTTTCTAACTCTCTATCCTTCTCCCTTCCTCTCTGTAAAAAAATCAATAAAATATATTAAAAAAAAAATTAGATCATGGTGATAGTTGGACAATGCTGCAAATATACTAAAAACCACTGGGATATATGCTGTCAATAGGTGAATTACATGGTATAAGAATTATATCTCAAAAGAACGATGTAAAAAAAGTACACACTGCCCTGGCCCACTTGGTGCAGTGGACGGAGCATCAGCCTGTGGACTGAGGGGTCCTGGGTTTGATTCCGGTCAGGGGCACATGCCCAGGTTGTGGGCTCAATCCCTGGTGGGGGCCGTGCAGGAGGCAGCCAATTGATGATTCTCATCATTGATGTTCTATCTCTCTCTCCCTCTCCCTTCCTCTCTGAAATCAATAAAAATATTTTTAATAAAAGCATACAGTGCATTGGGGAGAACTGAATTCAAATCACAGCTTGGTCACTTCCATGGTCGGGATGCATCTCATTGAAGCATGAAGACCTCTGAGGGCCGGATAAGGACTGACCTGCTCAGCTGACTTGTATTAAACACTGGGGCCCTGGGTGGACCTGGTGCTGGCTGCCCAAGAACAGTGAAAAGGACAGAACCAGCATCTGGGTTTGGGATTTGCAGACTGACATGCCCTGAGGGCAACATCAAACAGTGCAGAGTGAGGAGTTAATCTAGGCAGCTGGCGCAGGAACGGGGGGCCAGGGAAGGGGCTCCTGTGATCCAGAGCAGTCTGACATCCAGCAAAGCAGAGGGTGAGAAGAACTCCAGGCTAAGAGGGGCGGGAATGAGCGAGGGCAAGGCCATGTGGCTGGCAGACAGCCCAGGGAGGGTGAGGAGGGTTGACAGCGCAGGGCACTAAAGGCCACACCCAGGACTCTGGCCTCCAGAAGCACCAGGAGTCAATTTTACTTTTCCTTAGAATTACTTGGGCCACTGAGTGGAGGTGGGGTGGAGTGACAGCTGGTAAGTGGGAATTAGCATCCTTCGACCTTCGAGTACCTCTTGTGAGAGAGAAGAAGGGGAGACTGAGGCCCATCTGCCCAAAGTGGGGAAGTGGAAGCAAAGGCAGGACGCAGAGCCCTCACCCCTTGGCCAATACCAGCAAAGCTGACACAGTGAGGCCTCAGGGACATGTGAGAATCCTGCAGCAGGGATTCCCAACGGTTCCCATGAAAACGACTTTTGCTCGAGATTTGGGGTCAGGGGGTTTCCTGGCTCAGGACGCTTCGCCTCGAGACTTCCCTTGATCTTTTGTCCCCACACTGTCATCCCCTGCAAAGGGGGCTCCAGGAAGCAGAGGCTGTATCTATTTAACTGAGCACCTCACTCCTCCCAAAGGAAGCAGACAGACCCTGCAGAGGAAAGAAGCCAGCTGGGGGACGGCGTCAGGTTACCCAAAGTGCAGGGAGGCCTTGGGGAGAAGAAAAGCAAGGGAGCCAAGTTCAGGTCTCAGTTTAGTTCTCAGAGAGAAAACAAATACCCCCTGGGCCTGGAAAGGAGTGAGAAGGGCTCCAGTTTCAAGGCAGGCACCTGAGCCGGCTCTGAGAGGGTGCTGCGGTCCCCTCTGGGCCCTCAGATGACGTGCTTGTGAGGACGGATCATCCCAGGTGGCCGAGGGGAGCAGGGCGCTCATGGGAACGGGCCACACCTGCCGGGTGCCTTTACCTTTGTCAGCACCTCTTATCCATCGCCACTCCAGGGAATGGGTGGCACCACCCCAGGGTAAGGGCCCAGCAGCCCCCTGCCTGGATCCTGACCTGGACTTACCTGTGTAGGACACCTCCACGTCAGCCAGTGCCTTGAGTGTGCTCTCGTAGGACACGTCTTCAAACTTCAGGGAGCCCACCTGGTCGTACACGCGCTTGGTCTGCTCCATGAGCTCCGCCGTGAGCTCCGCTATTTGCTGGGCACTCAGGTCCCATCTCAGGTAGTTCACCACGGAGCAGGGGGCTGCCTTGTCCAAGACATCTGCTGTGCAGGCTACACAGAGAACAAAACACCACACCAGGCATCTGCTTCACATCCAGAATCCAGAATTCGGGTCAGAGTAACTGGGGGAGGGGGGACGGGGGGTCAGTGACGGGGGGCAAATGAGGGACAGCGAAGGACCTGTGTTTCTCTGCAGATGGGTGAGGCCCGAGGGCCTTGTGAGGAGGCACAGGCCGACCAGTCCTCTAGAGAAGGTGATTCTGCTCCCCAGGGGACAATGACGTCTGGGACATCTGAGGTCATCAGGACCGGGAGTAATGCTACTGCATCGAGTAGGTAGGGGCCAGGGATGCTGCTCAACACCCCACAGGGCCCAGGACGGCTCCCCACAGAGAGCGACCCGACCCCAAATGTCAACAGGGGTGAGGTGGAAGGAATACTTTGATTACAGGGTGCCATTCCAGGCCTCCCTGGATGCAATACGTGACATATGCACTGTATTACCTTTCTAAAATAGGGGAAAACCCTGATTACTGAAATATCCCTAGCCCTGAAGAGCTTCTGGATAGGAGACTGTGGTCTGTACTGATAGCAATCACTTGACAACTTCCGTGTAAGGTTCAGAGTGTAAGATGTTTTGTGCTCTTCCCCTCTCTGAATTCTCGGACAGTGCTGTACTCTGCATTCCATTTGCCTGTCTTATGAGATGAGTCCTGAGATTTGGAGAGTTCAAGTGATCTCATAGGCCAGTGGTCGGCAAACTGCGGCTCACGAGCCACATGTGGCTCTTTGGCCCCTTGAGTGTGGCTCTTCCACAAAATACCACGTGCGGGCGCGCATGTACAGTGCGATTGAAACTTCGTGGCCCATGAGCAGAAGTCTATATCTACCTGATTCCATACAGCCCATGAACTAAAGGTGATTTCACATGGGAGGTGGTATGCGGCAGCCAAGGCTAAACCATGTGCGCCCTTATATAGCAGTTTGCTGACCCCTGGTCTACATTGTCCAGACTCTACTGAGTCCCGTATGGCAGGTCTGGCCAGCTGGTTTTACCAGCCACACTGGCTTTCTCCAGTCTCCAGGGCCTTCCTACAGGTTGTCTTCTCTGTCCCAAGCCCTCACCCTGCCAGTCTTCCCTTCCACATTCCTTTCTCAGGAAGACCCTGTAGATCTGGAATGGCTACACCTGTCCCAAATTACTTGTTGAGTTATTGAACAGAATGGGTGTGGAATGCACCATAAACAAGGGGGTGGCTCCAGGAAACACCCAGCTATGCCCCATTTTCCCCTTCTGGCCAGCCAGGAGTTGAGCAGGGCCAGAGTGTCCTGGACTCCCCATCCTGTGAACACTGGGGACCTTTGCAAGGTGCTGCTGGCTCAAACCTGTGTTTGGTATCTTTGGGGTAGAGTTTTTGAACAGCACTATCAACACTGGGGGCCAGGTCATTCTATGGGATGGGGCCGTGCTGGGCATTCTGGGGTGCTGAGCAGCACCCCTGGCCTCCCGCCCACTCTATGCCAGGAGCATTCCCAGTCATGACAACCACAGATGTCCCCAGGCATTGCCCAGGGTCCCCGGGGGTGGTACAATCATCCTCGCGGAGAACCACTGATATATACTAAGAGGGAAAAAGGAAAGCCTTTAAGTCAGCACAGGTCAGATTTTCTGGCCAAAAGATTGCTTCGAACTTCAGAAAAAATCTTTCTGTTTGCAGAGCATTTTGAATTTCAGAAGTGCCAGAAAGGGATTGTAGGTCTGTATCAAATTTGGTGGTAAAGAAGGGCTCCAGAAGCTCCGGAAAGCTGGGAGATCCACATGAGCTGGAAGGGTCAGGAAAACCTCCTGGAGGTTTGAAAAACTTGAGCAGAAGCCTTCATTCCTTAAATGTTTACTGATTACCACCTACGCGCCTGGTCCCCAAGCTAACAATCCTCCGGCGAACAAGGCAGACAACATTCTCTGCCGTCCTGAGTCCTTCACAACCCTAGTTGCAATTATTAGCAATACAATTATCATCATCACCATTGCAATGAGCTGGAGAAAGAACTGGGAAGGCCAGGTGGGCAAGGGGAAATTCCAGGAGGCAACACACAACAACCTGGGCGATTTTCCAAAATACCGTAAACAGGTCCTATCGCTCCCAATGAAAACCCGTCCATAGTGCCCATCTGCCTTTAAAATAAAAGCTGCAGTCTAGCCAAAATGACCTATTACTCTGCAAATGTGTTACCCGTGTTCCTGCCTCCAGGCTTTTGCCCTCAGGGTTACAGCCAACTGGGACGCTCCTGCCCCAGATCTTGGCAGGGAGCGGCTTCTCCCCATCCAGTCCAAGCCGAAACGCCACCCCCTCCGAGAAGCCCTCCAGGACTGCCCTCTCTCTAAAAAAAAAAAAAAAGGCGCCACCAGCCCCCACACGGACTGACCACTCTCTAAAGCCCTCGCTTGCTTCTTTGCTTGCTGACCGTCTGTCTCGGCTCTGGAACTCCGTCTAGAACTCATGGTCTCTCCCAGAGTCCACTCCGGGGCCCGACCCGTCCTTAGCAGAAGCCACGAGAAGTTGGCTGAATGAGCGAAGCGCTGGAGAAGCTGGTTCATTCATCTGCCCCGGAGGGCACGAGGTCGCGGGCTCGCCGACACCTCTGCAGGGCCCCGGTCACTCGCGGATCACTGGGCTCCGCTCTTAGGCCTAAGTCCCGACGCCCATACGCACGAGAGGGTGCAGGGGGCTCCTGGATCCCGCTAGCGCGGCCGCACAGAGAGGTGGCCGGTACCTGCAGGGGGCTTCATGGCGGCAGGCGGGCGCGTGTGCACTGTGGTCCTCTCCCTCCACCTGGTCTGCGTCGGGCTGGCTCAGCCGCGTCCGCCGGTCTCCTCCGTCCGCTCCGTGGCCGCGGTGGCGAGTGAGGCACCCACCGCCCGGCGGGCCCACTGAACGCTGGGAGGAGGGTACGGCGCAAGCTCACTCCACCCCCACCCTCCCCGCGCGCGCGCACGAGGGCGAGAAAGACACAAACGAGAAGGAAACAGGGACGGAGACAGATGGCTGGCACCTCTGAGCCTCTGAACGTTTGCGGCTCTCTGCTGGTCCTTTGCCTGGGCTTCTAGCCCCGGAATTAATTAGTACCTGCATCCTTTCCTCCTTAAAGAGAAAAGAAAAGAAAGAAAAGAAACGCAAGCAATTCAGCATCACCAAGGAAGCCTCAATAAACGGATCCAAACTTCAAACAATAGGTGTTTTGGAACAGTGCAGTAACCTGACCTATATCTAGTGTTGTGGGTTAAAACAAACAAAAAATTTGAACTGTTTAAGGCATCCAGAAAGAAAAATTTATTAGAATTAACCTTGCAAAAAAAAGAAAAGAAAACCCTTTTATTTCTGCAGAAGAATTAAAATAATCCAGGGTGATAAATGTTCATGCGCTTTAAATAGGATAAAAATGAATCGGGAGAACACTTCTGGCATCTTTTAATACTAGTGGTGGGCAGTTCTGAGTCATCCTAGGGAATTTCTCATCACTCATTCTCTATTAAGTGCACCGAGTTTAATTCTACTTCAGTTTTCATCTCACTGTTCCCTGTACCTGAAGTGTTTCTCCTCGTCCTCCAAATCCACATTTTAAAAGAAAGGCCCTCCCTAACCATCCTGGCCAACTTATCTCCCCAGTCACAACACCCCATTTTTCTTCAAATCGCTTGCCATTAAGTGAAATTCATTAATTTATGTCCTAGTTTACTATTTGATAATCTGTCTGTTGTAGGCAGTTAGACAGACAAGAGTAGAGCAAGGACAAAGGGCCAGGTACAGCAGGTCACCAGGGTGGAAAGCCCAGACAATCAATTGTAGGGTGGGACTTTTTTTTCTTCCTCTGTCTAGCATATCAATGGTCAAGCGGTTTGGGCCCCCTCACCTTTCCTCCCTAGAGATAACATCTATGCCTCAGTTTTATTTCAGCTCCAGGCCCAGGTAAGCAACAAAGCCAGCTTGGCTGACCTCAGGACCAGCAGCATTGAATAGTGACCCCCTGACCTAGTGCCAGCCAATCTATCAGTGGAGAGCACAAACCTGAAAGGACACAGATGAAAAACTGCTGAATATTCATTGAAATCTTCCCCTGGGACCTCCCCTAAACTCTCCAACCGTAAAACTCTTAGGATGGAGGACCCAGTGCATTCTCCCTCCGGGGAGCACACCCTTGCCTTTCCCTTTTCCCCTCCCCCTTCCCTGCCCCAGGTACCTTACCATTAGCTTCCTCACTCCCAAGTTCCAAGGGCTTTTTTTTTTTTTTTTTTTTTTTTTTACCTCTAACTTGTTTCCTTAAGCCCATTCCTTCTGGAAATTATTTCTTTTATCTCTGTGATTTACCAAATATATGTTCTCTTCAAGTTTGGGGGTTGGCTCTGAATTCTTTGCTAGCCAAAACCAAAGTACCCAGGTTGCTGAACTCAGGTTTGGTCTAACCTCATGGGTCAGATACCTGATGCCATTCCCACCGCTTACAACACGTCCACCCTGATACTATATAATGAGGGCAAACACTTTGCTGGTCTTTACAGTTAGCTTGCAATAAATATTTGTTGACTACTAGGCACCTGCTGTGAACAACTTCTATATTCCTTTACGTCTTAGGGGTTGAATGAACGAAAGACTGCATTTGTGGGTGAGTGGGTGAATGGGTAGGTGAAAAAATGAGCAAAGGTAGTGGGTAACAGTTGTTCGCATTCACTGAGCGCCAATGATGGCTCTGGGCGCCAGAGACCCAAACACAGCTGCACCACGTGGCCCGTTCGGGACCACGTGACAGGCTCCGCCTACTTCCAGGAGTCCCTCCACTGTCCCACCAAGCACCGCTCCACAATCCTGATTTCCGGTTTCATCGGTCGCAGAGGTCAGTTGCCCTAACGACCACCTCGTTCCCGCCTCTAAATTGCGTCACTTCCCCCATTCCTGCTTGGACAATTGACGCGCCTGCGCAGAATGAAATCCAAGACTAGCGGGTTCCTTCCGCGCAAGCGTCCCGACTTGGGGGCGGGGCCGAGTGGCGCCGCGGTGCGCAGGCGCAGCCGTCGGTGGGTCGGGGTTCGGCCGCTAGAGAGGTGAGTTGGGGGCTTGGCGCTTTGGCTCCGCTGCTAGGGGCTTCCGGAGCTACGCGGCCCGTAAGGGAAGATCGGTCTGGGGCTGGGGTCACTGCGCGATCCGCCGGGTGCTGTGTGTGGGCGGTGCAGAGGGGAAACTGAGGCTGGGCGTCGTCGGATTGGCCTTCACCAGCCCTGGCTTCCCTCGCCCGGACCCCGGGCCTGGGAAATGCTGCTTCGCAGATCCGTGGGTGGAAAGCGGGAAGTAAAAGCGCCCCACCTGTAGGGGCCGCTCGCTGGGTATACGCTGCTGTACAGAGAAACGGTCCTTTTAAATCGGGCCCCTGTCTCAGGTCGGGGCTCCTGTCCCAGCGCCGCTGCTCTCCAAGTGGGTGACGTTGGCCAGCCTTTTGACTTCTCAGCCTCAGTTTTCCCCTCTGTAAAACGGGCATTGTCACAGCCCTTGCTTCGAGGGCGAGGGGTTTGGGGAGGATTCAAGCCACAGGGCCCAGTGGAAAGTGAGAGCTCAAATTGGCTAGCAGTCTTATTTCACACTTAGGGTCTTCTGCATATTGTGCTAGAAGCGGTCGAAATCTGCACTTGAGGACCCGCTGCACACCTCTCCCTGGCTGTGTAAAGCTTGGACAAGTCGCTTCCCCTCTTTGAGCAGCACATCTCTTATAGGGGCTGTGGAAGTATATGCCTCTAGGCAGCGGTTCTCAACCTGTGGGTTGCGACCCTTTCACAGGGGTCGCCTAAGACCATCGGAAAACACATACATAATTACATATTGTTTTTGTGATTAATCACTCTGCTTTAATTATGTTCAATTTGTAACAATGAAATTGGAGGTCACCACAACATGAGGAACTGTATTAAAGGGTCGCGGCATTAGGAAGGTTGAGAACCACTGCTAGGGTCTATATGAGAGCATTCCTTAATCAGGCTCCTGGTAAGTGCTCACTAGAGAATGGCTGGTTTTTGTTATTGTCAGAACATGGGTGTGCAACCAGTGTCCCTGAGTGATGTTCCTATTTCTTTTGTTTCTTTCCCTGATTATTTGTTGAGTCTGTTTTTCCTCTCTCTCTAGACCAGTGATTTTTAACCCCCACCCCCGGGGGGGGGGTACTGGAAAATGGGGACATTTGTGGTTGTCACAACTGGGGTGCTCCTGGCATCAAGTGGTTGTGGGGCCAGGGATGCTGCTCAACCCCCACAGTGCCCAGGACGGTTCCTCAGAGAATGATTGGCCCATTTTTGTAGGGAGCAGAAGGGGTACTTTGGAGGTAGTCTCAAGTCAGACTACCTGAGCTTAAAACTGATTTGTGCCTTAGCTGGATGACCTTGAGTGGTGCCCTTATCTTTCTAAGCCTCAGTTTTTCCTTCTGTAGAATGGGAATTAGGTGAAACAACTTAAGAGTCTCAGCAAACTGATCAGGGAGCCAAATCCAGTTGAGGCCTGTTTTTTAAAATGAATTTTTGTGGAAACACAGCACGCCCAGTGGCATACACACTGTCAGGGGCTGTTTTTGCATTGTATTAGCAGTGTTGCCTTGTTGCCACAGAGACCCTGTGGCCTGTGAAGCTGACAGAATTTACTCTGGCCTTTTTCAGAAAGTGTTTGCTGATCACTGAAATAAACCATTGCATGTACAGCACTTAGTGCAGTGCCTGGAACGTCCTCAGCATTTGTCACCTGAGGCTTATAAATCAGTCTTGACTGGAAGGGTGAGTGACTCTAAACGGGATTAAGCTCTGCGCCAGGTCAAGAGCTGTAGTCTTATTTGATCTTACGTTTTTTTTTGGCCAAGACCCAACTTGGGCTGAGGTGAGAAATGCTCAGTGATAGCTGAAGGAATAAAAGGGATTGTGGGGCCGAAACCAGTTTGGCTCAGTGGATAGAGCGTCGGCCTGCGGACTGAAAGGTCCCAGGTTCGGTTCCGGTCAAGGGCATGTACCTGGGTTGCGGGCACATCCCCAGTGGGAGATGTGCAGGAGGCAGCTGATGGATGTTTCTCTCATCAATGTTTCTAACTCTCTATCTCTCTCCCTTCCTCTCTGCGAAAAATCAATAAAATATATTTAAAAAAAAAAAAAAGGGATTGTGGGCAGGTAGGCAGGACCAAAGGTCTTGTACTGATGAGGAAACTGAGACCCAAAGAGAATGACCTCCCCAAGGAGCCTGGTTGTCACTGTTGACAGTGACCTCATGTTTTCCTGCGGCCGTGTGCATCAAATGCCGCCCAGTGCTGAGGTTAAAAGGAAGTTGGCCTGTCAGTGGCTCACAGTCCGCTGGCTGAAGACAGGCCTGGACAGAACCTGTAGGAGATGCTGGGCCCGAGGTGGGAATAGTATTGGGCTTTGCTGGGAAAAGAAGGTGCCTGGCTCTCTCTGAGGAGGTGGCCTTGCAGCTTGGTGTCGAAGGGAGAATAAGAGTTTTCCTGATGGATCAGAGGAAAGGTGAGTAGTGGGTCTGAGTGGAGCATGGAGGGTTTGGAGCCCAGGGGGTGACACACCAGTGCTGAGGGGCACACTTGTTACATTTCAGGGAGCTTTTGAGGGTTTATACTAATAAGTAAGCAGGACAGTCTGGTGGCATTTTAGAAGAAAACTTTGGGGAGTGAACACCAGTTCTAGCTTTGGGGCAGCCTTTCTTGGGTACCTGCAGTATCCTAAGGTGGGTGGGAGAAGCACCCACAGAAGTGGTGGGCCATCCTTCAGAAAGTGGGTGCCTCTCCTTCCCAAGGTGGGGGGTGGGTCACTCATTTTGGTAAGGTGTGTCATTTTTCCTTTTTTTTTTTTTAAATATATTTTATTGATTTTTCACAGAGAGGAAGGGAGAGAGATAGAAAGTTAGAAACATCGATGAGAGAGAAA